CTGGCTGGGGCTGGGGCGCGGCCGGGCCGGGCCACGCCGCGCGGCGCCGCGCCGGGGGGCTTCCTGTATATGGCCGCGCGGCCGGGGGGGCTATTTCTGAGCCTCTGGATAAACACCACGCGCGCCCGTGCACACGCACGCGCACGCACGCACGAATTTCTTCCCCTGCATTCATTTACTTTCGGCGAAAGTCGTTGAGGCCGACAACCATACGTTTTAAACATACGTTTTTATACTTAAAATTTGATATAAGGGACAGAAATATTGACATACATTTTGCGTGAAATGGAAAAATGCCAATTACGAAATGGAAACAGTTCAGGGGAATTAATACCGTAGTTTTAATTAAATATTAAGATTTCAATTTGGCTTTTTTATTTAAGGAGCAATTATATCTGATCCCACTCCGAAGTACTTCTCAACAATTTTGAATGATTTATAATACGTTTAACGGTGATCTACAAATATTGCATTAGGAATGGTTTGGAGTTCCAATTCGCCATATATTCGTTTTATTATTTCTTCGGGGAAGAAATGTCTCACAAGGATCGAAATATTGAGGAAGAATGAAAATAAAATAAGAACAATGTAATTAATAAATGTGTAGTAAATTTCATGCCCAATCTAAAGCTTTTGGATTCCATACAACTTTATTGCTTTTTGTTCTAACTTATTTGTTTACCCGCATGGATACACGCTAATAGTAAATCCGAAAAGTTATTTTTAATGACTAATTTTATATATAATTAATTAAAAAATAATTCAGAACTAATTAAAAATATTAGTGTGAGAGCTTCATTCTACATACTACATCACGAATTGTAATCCGATCCAAGAATTTAATTATTTTATGAGACTCTAATTTCTATGTATATCCTTTTTAGTCATCTCTTCTGAACCGACACCCGCTTTAGTCCAATCGATCGAACCTTGTAGATATCAAATATCATTTCCCCGTCATCAATTCAGAAATGTCCACTGAAATTTCTATTGTGTGCCTAATGCAAATATTTCCGAATTGGAGCGGCAGCGATGAATCGAAACCGATCGGTAGTCGTCCGAAGTGTTTCGGGGTAGAGTCTTCCGCGTTCGTTTCATCCCGGGCAGCGTTCGCTCGCGTTGAACGCATGCGCCTCCGGCACCCCGTCATTTCGTTAAGGAGGACGAGGGCGTTGACGGCCGCTGCGTTGGCTGAGGGTTGGGGAGGCGGGAGGGGCGTTGTACCTGATGGCGGGGCCTGCCGACGATGGACGGGAAGACGGCGCGGGGAGCGTCGTCTCCGGCGAAGCCGGCCTTGCACATGCCGGAGCCATTGTCCACAACCAGAGCAGCAACGTCGTCGTCACACATTTCGGCAGATGTTTGTTATCCTGCGACACAAAGAGAGCCCACTCGTTACACACACACATACACACACACATTCAGAGAGCGGACGACAGCCGCACCCTGCCTAGCAAGCTAGCGCCGACCGACCCTCGTATTTAAGCATTGGCGTTATTAAGTTTCACGCAGAGCGACCATTGAGAGAACGAGAGACTTAGCTTTAAGTGCGAGATCAATCTCACGCAGCCATTATTCATTGAAATTTGAGAGATCGAAAGTGAATCAGCTTGTTTTAGAAATTGAAGGAAGGAAAAAATTGCCTTCAAAGTGTTTCAAAATAAAATGAAGTAATACGACTAGCGCAACACTTTTGTCTCATAATCTAATGTATTACCTAACACTTCCGTGTTCTAACCTTATAAGTCGCGAAAACACTTTTATCATTGCCGCCATTCTATTTCGGTGTGCCATAAACAAGGATAGCATATTCAGTATATAAAATTAGAACGGACATCTAAACACTTTCTATAAGTTTTGAAGAGTTGCAACGTTCATGGTAATAAGTAACATTTTAATAATTGTTAACACTTTTCAAACTCTAAGATAACAAGCACTACATCAGATTGTTTTTGTAACAACGAATTTTATAAATTCATTGCAGCCAAACATTCTGGTTAAATTTATCGGTAATGAGTAATGTAATGCAATTATTGCAGTTTCAACTAATCCGTCAGATTTGAAACAAAATTATCCTCAAAAATCCTCACAAAATAATCCTCAGAAAATCAAAACTCGCAAATTATTTCCGTGCGAACACACTAACCCGAGGCAAAACAAAAAAATACGATATTTAAAAACACTTGTCCAACCGCAACACTAAAAAAACACGAAAGCTGCAAACTTTTTTCCTCGTCATAAGCCTCGAAGAGTTAACACGTTTCCTCCGAAGGAAACACCGAAAAAATTCAAGTAACACAATTAAAGTCGGAACACTGTTGTACGGAACGATCACCAATCCACTCACGAAGCAAAAATTGCGCCGAGGGAAGCGGTATGTGCGAACTCACGACGGCGTACTACGCTAGCACTGCACTGATGGCTGGTCGTTGGAGAGTCCCGAGCTACGTACCGTGCAAGCTTGTTACTAGCTCCGGCGCTCCTGCTCGACGTCTAGGCAGCGAGTGGGACCAGCGGCGCCGCGCCCACTAACTATATCCTTCGGTCGGCGGCGCCAAAAATACCGCCCTCCAAACAAGGGAATCGCGGCGGGGCCGGCCGGCGCGCGCGGCCGCCCCGCGCATGCGCGGACCGACGCACGCCGCACGCCGCGCCCCTAAAAGGGAAGGCAGCGCGGGCCCCGCGCCGCCCCCCGCCGCCGCCTTTTTAAGTTTTGAAGGATAACGGCGTCTTCCCAGCTCCCGCGCCCTACGCCCCGCGGCCCCCCACCCCCTCAGGGGCCGACACCGCCGTCGCCGCGCCCCGGGAAGCGGCGAAGGATGCGGCGCTTATTTTATTTTTAATTTTTCTCGCCGCCGAGGGGCGCCGGCGCCGCGCAGGCAGGGCGGAGCGGCGTCGTGGGCGGAGCGGGCGAGGAGCGGAGTGGCGTGGGCGCGTTACGTGAGTTCGCATCGCCCGCGGCGATCTGGGGCAATCGTCGGACGCGACGCTCCGCGCCGCCGCTTTTGCCCATTGACAAAGGCTGCCCGCCCCCGCCCGCCCGTCCCGCCCCGTCCCCCCGCGCGCACTCTAGGAGCGCCCGCGAGCAATCCCAACTGAGCGGCGCGGATTTCCCTTCGTGAGCGCCTCTGACGGGATCTCTAACTGCCCGTGATGTACGTTAGGCTGCCCTGAGGTCAGAGTGGTGGACCTCTCGTGTCGCACATATGCCTGGGACCGAGCGCTCTTTCTCTTCCTCTACGTGTCGGTATTCAAACAGTGGTCACTTAGCGTACATTTTGTGCAAGATGGAGCAAGTTGCGGTATATTTCTCGGGGTCGATTTTTTCCGAGCCGTAAATTGGACGTTATTCTATTATAATCGTTCGTCATGTTTTTTTCAGGATCGCCCAATAGGATAGCGGTCAACGCGTTAGTTTACCACATCTGAAAATTCCCAGATTTTTGCTAGTCCATTACCAACCCGCCGTTTCAATTCATTACTCAGCATCTCTTTCATGTGTTAGCTTTGGGTATGCAAAATACTTAACAATAAACGGACCGTTATGTATTATTACACAAAAAAGAACCGTTGGAGTATACCATATCCATGATACTGTAACAAGGGACCTTGTTACAGTATCATAGATCTGGTATACTCAAACGGTTCTTTTTTTTATACATTTGTTTAATGATCAGGTCTTTTTAGAATTGTTCATGTTATACAAACGTTTTGGAGTCTGTTTGTAGGAACGTTTGTAATGCTGATTTATTAATTTTGATAGTATAGTTACTATTCTCCTTCGAATGGAGTAAAATAAGTTGAAGATTCTGGTAAATCAATAATTAGCCAGTGTCTACATATGGAGCTGAGATTTGAATAACAATATTAAAATATCAGCTTAGTCAACAGAGTCAACGATGTAATTCTTAAAATGCTTTTATATTTTTTTCGGTTTTATTTCTCATCCGACCTTAATTTTATCAATTACACTAAAAAAATCATGGATGCCAAAATCAAGGAAAACGTTCAAAATCTTCGTAAACGAGCTTGTCGATATAACCGTTTGTAATATAATTCATTTTTTGTACAGAATATCATTAAAAATAATATTGGGCCATTTATTTGGGTGTACTGTATGGCTATGTACCTAATAACCTGCACCAGGAAAGTCTCTCCATACCAAGCCGAATCAAGGGCTCTACATATATGTTTGTAGCAACCAGATCACTGGGAAAAAGTGAAGATGACAAACCTTCCAGCATATATTATGATTCTGGTGAGTACTCAATTTAGTTTGCATTTGTTGCAAGATGCGGTTCGCGTTACCAATATAATTTCTGTTGCTAGCACTCTCTCCAGCCACTGGTGCCACTGCGGTGAGACTTTTATGGCGAAATGTAGTATCTAGGTATAAACGTTCGTCTGGAAAAAATCATTCTGGGAGTATTTGCGATGACAAATTAATAGATTTATATTCTGCTACACAATATATCGCATATTGTATTTAACAATGCAAACAACAAAGAAATGTAGAGCGATGTAATTTTTAAGAAAAAATAATGAAATTGTCCCATTAGAAAACAAACAACGATTGTTACTCTCAAAAATAAATCACATAATTAAATCTATACTCCGTCTAGACATATGTTTGTAAATTTGTCTTGGATGTTTCTGTCGCTTCTCCAATTCTGCTCTACTTTCCTAGTAAGGTTTTGTTAAGTAGTAAAAATCCCAGGCAATTTGGGTTTTGTGATGGTGCTCCAATGTATGAAGTACCACAAGACTCATTACAGTCATCGCGAGTCGATTCAAAACTTTAAGCCGACATCCATTTCAAAGTATTATACTCTTCAGATGCAAAACGCGTTAAGTGAGAGAATGTTTTGTGGATTGGTGCCGTAATCTATAAGGTACATTTATCACATTAATGAAAGAAATAACTGTCAAGTTGTGGTTGAGTAAAATTATAAGTTCCTCGTACTTTTGACAATCAAATTATATTCGTTCTTTAAATTCTCATTTTATTCATTTTCGTTGGTCATGCTGCCACCTTTACAATGAAACATGACGTTACATAAGCCAATAATTATGAAAATGTTTGATGATGTTCTCGTAACATATATCATTATGATCATCAGAGTGCATGATGTGGAATCTAATGTCCTATGCTAACGTATAAAACATGGTACTAGTGATTTATCTGATTATGGAGCCAAGTACGCTCCGAAAAATCATAAAATAAAGAATATCTTTAAAAAAATATATAATTTGATTGTCAAAAATACGAGAAACTTATAATTTTACTAATGTATTTATCACAATGCAGAGCCGCGAGAAGAAAATTAATTGATTGGCAAACAAAATGCAGAAATTAGCCACGGATGAATGTTTGCGACTATCGTGAGAGGATCACAAAGGAGGTTTGTACAAGAAACAAATGATTAATAGTTTTCGATGAAACACGCACCATTTATAAAAAAACTTTGGAAATGCACATACACTTTATTTATTTTATATCTGTAAATTATTTACAGATTCGGTAAATTTAAATAAAAACTAAGAAGCAATCTTAAAGCAAGCCTATATTTCGGTACACTAAAGCCTGTGTTATTATCTACGATGTTTCTTAATTCATTCTACGAAGGGGAACGAGGGGAACTCGAGAATTAATATGCACTCACCAAAACAAAGTGTATGCGCTTTTTCGAGATATATTTTCATCTCTTTAATATTCTTGACTTTTGCAGCCTTTTTTAAAGTTGGTGGTCTTTCGAAATGAGTCCTGATATTTCAAAAGCACGCGATTGTTATACAGGTACTACGCAATACAAAAGTAGTGTAGACGTTTCATGTATGAGATCTCTGCCAAGAGTCCTTGTGTGTGACGCGGCGAACCCACAGCTCTGAGGCACCGTGGATGCCATTTCCCTAGGCGGTATTCACTCGTCACAAATAGCTTCTACTTGCGCGGATTGCAAGACCATTGGGTAAATTAGGATTCGATGAGCCTCTTCGGTGTATTAGATCTAATGTTGCTAACAGTTGGAGCAGAAAAACACGCAGAGGAAACGCCTGTGTGGTAGAGTTATTTGGCCACCCCCACATTATTTGGGAACGCATTTTTCTTTAAAATAAAATAAATTATCTAACAAATTAAAGAGGCAGTAAACGGGATACTAAAGTAATAAGCATTATTTTTTAAAAACTGCCTGTATAATTAAAGTATTTTGTGAAGGCAAATGATAAGACATTACTAAAAAAGTGATAGAAATTAGGAAATTCCATACGCCTTTTATCTTGCTCAAGTCTCTAATTGAGCGGCATTTCAAATTCCAGTACAAAGACAAGGTAATATTAAAATACAATATTGTATAAAATATGATGTAAAGCACATAGTATTAAAAAAGAATGAAGGAGAATTACGTACAGAGATCAAGACGTACTTTGCTTCGGAAATGTTAGTGAGGGAAACTCGGGAAAGGAGAACAAGAATCCACTGGTTGAGAAGAAATGTTTCCTCTGCGCGCCAACTGTTGTAACGCCGACGCTGTTTACAGCCAGCGGCTGCACAGCCCCTGAAGCACACGCTCCCCGTGCGTTGCGGGCGGGTGGCGGGCTGGGCTTCGTTGACTTTTTTTCTTGCGAACGCGTCATTCACTTTTGCCATTAGTCCCGCAACTGTCGTGCATTTTGTAGCCCAGGACTGGATCGTGAGATTCGGCGCCGACATACAAGTCGGCTAGCTGGTGTTTTCCAACCAGGTATCCCACAATCGGGCAGCAACCATCCGGGACAAACTATAAGCTCCCGACCGGTCTTCCAGCACTTGTGGTAGTGCAGTGCCTGTGAATATGTGTGTGTACTCTAAGGAGAGGATAGGGCAAGGAAGAGGAAGGAAGGATCGCGCGTGACATGTGACCTTTTTTGTTAGGACACTACTCCAGCATTCATTTGGTGTTGGTCGGAGAATCCACGGAAAACTACCGATCAAAGCAGCCGATCGCTAGAATCCCCCTCCAGTCAGCAGGTGAATACAAGCCGGGTACCTAATTAGTGTGAAAATCGCCCATTACGGAGATTCGCCTCCCAGCAGCTACCGGTGAGCGTGGCAAAATAGGCAGTTTTGACGCTACCTCGGCGGCGGGCGGCAGCGGTTGGTGGGCAATGTGTGTGTGTGTGTGTGTGTGTGTGAGGGGAGCGTTAATGGCGCGCGACGGAGCAAACGCAGCGCCGGCGCCGCGAGGGTCGCGACGCGTCAGCGCCTGGGGCCACCACCACACTTCGCGCTTATTAGTGAAACTCATAATGTAATTGACAATAATACACAGACGACAAAAACCGTTAACATTAAAAGGGTTACCATAACAAGATACAATTCAAAGACTTACGTTAACACGTTGACTGCCACATAATCAAGAATGTGACCGGCCGTTTTATCCGTCTGTAGGTTACAGAAGGGATTGCTAATTATTATCGGTTTATTTTTTTAAAAATCTTAGTTTTGTACTGTTTTCTTCTGAGAGACAGCTTTTGATTCTCGCGGCCTTTGCACATATCTT